CTGGTAAAAACCTCTTTTTTTTTTGTTGCATTATCTTGACAATTTGTCAATCGATCCTGGATGTCCTTTTATGCTTACTTCCAAAACTTGGCAGATTATTCACATATTCAAGTTTTTTGTAATTTTAATCAGGTCACTGATAGTTCCTAATGAAATTCCAATTGCTTTATTTATCAACCTAAATGTTTTACCTTGCTTGAATAAGTCAATGACCAAACTACGCTGAGCTTGTGACCATTCTTTGATTTCAACCCCATTCTTGATGATATCAATGGTAAATTGAATAAATTTGAAAAATATTAGTCTATTATTAGGGGCTATTCTAGACCGTTTTCGACAGCATCGACTGTATTTGGGCGTCACCCAAATTAAAATTTGCGGACTTTTTTTTTTTTTTAACGACAAATATTGTTTTTTTTAAAAGCTAAAGTGTGCCAAGGAGGTGTTGCCGCCCAAAATTTTTTCCTAGAACAGGCCCCGATTATTAAAAGTTATTCATGATTAAACAACAATATTTTGAAACCTATTAATTTTTCTTTAAATATTCACATACAAAACTTCGTCTACAAAACAACATGTTTGGGGAATTATCTTTTGGTAAGGTTTTAAGGCTCCTTAAGGAGTCATTAAATTTTAACTAACCTTAATTAACTTTTTTTTTTTTCGATATTTAAAATTGTGATTTAATTTGCTTTCAGAATAATTAAAAAATTATTTATCAAAAACTTTACTTTTTCTAAAATATGCGGACAAAGTTTATTTTTCACTATAAAATGTTTTGTTCGAATACTTATTTCTTTGACTGTAAGTATTAATTTGTATATTTAACCAATAATAATGTCTTATTAATATTGATTAAATATAGAATATAGAAAGAAAAAATTACACATGTACAATATATTACAAATATTTACATGTGTGCCAGCTTCTTTGAGTACTAAGGATCTCTTGAAAAAGAAGGGGTCTCTATATATACACTATTGTGCAAATTAGTTACATCAATTTTTTTTTTCTTTTGTTATTTGCGGTAGTGGTGTATGTGGTAGAGCGCTCGCTTCATAAACGGTAGTGGTGTATGTGGTAGAGCGCTCCCTTCATTTTGTATATGCGGTAGTGGTGTAGTGGTAGAGCGCTCGCTTCATAAACGAGTGGTTCCGAGTTCGATCCCCACCACGTCCCTGGTAGTACCGCGCTCAACTTGTTTCTCCGCGCAGCGGCCTTGTTCGTCAAGGTTCGTGTTTCGGAGTTATAGAGTTGAGAGAGGGTTATAACCACAAATAAGTAGCCTCCTCGTCTGTAGTGGCCTTCTCGGCCTTGAGGAGGCGAATTAAAATAAAAAAAAAAAAAAAAAAAAAATTTGTTGTTGTATTCTTTCTCAATTTAAATGTAATTAGAAGTAAATTTAAAAAAAGAAAATAAACAAAGATGGGCACTACGCCAATGAAAAGATCTAAAATATTAGCATTACTTCAGTATTCTGATAAATCTCAACGGAAATTAGCCACATTATGTTCAGTTAACCAATCTACAGTTAGCTGGGTCAAGAAGCATTTGCAACAGGCAGTTTATCACCATTAAGACAAGAAAAATGTGGTCAAAAACGAAAGATCTCAGTGAAAGATGACTGATATCTGATGCTGGTGAGTATCAAAAATCAAAAGAAGACAAGTGACTAACTATAGAATGATTTACCTACACATGGCATCTGTGTCTGTTTAAATACTGTGCAGAGGAGGTTGATAGCTTTTAAAAGGGTTGCCAAAAAACCTTCTAAAAAACCATTACTTACAGATACCATGAAAAAGCATCTCTTGTGGGCAAAGGAATACAAAAAGTGAACTAAAGAACAACGGAGAAGAGTACGAATGTTCAATTTACACCTGTTTTACTTATTAAATTTGTATAATCATACTATTTTTTAAAAATGAAGATATTAAATTGAAGAGACTTAATAATTGGTAATTTATTTAATAACAGACTTAATAATTGATAACTTGTTGATTTATTGATTGTAGGTTTTACTTTTGAATGAATCACATTTTGAAGTGCAAGGCCAACAATCAAAGTTTGTTTGTCACTCTGATGGTGAGCCTATAAGACATGGACACATTGAACAATACAGCATGTATCCAGAAAAAAAAGATGTTTTGGAGTTTATCTGTTGTTGGACCAGGAGCAATCTACCTAGTTACTAGCATGATGAACTCTGATACTTAAATTGAGGTTCTGTAAAGACATTTAAAAAGACCCAAAAATAAGAGCAAAACTTTGTTAAAATTTGGTAGATTCTATGCCGACTCGTGTGCAGAAAGTCGTAGCAGCACAAGAAAGACAAAATATTATTGTATAAGATTTTTATTATATTGGTGGAAAAAAAAATTAAAAATTCCTGGATTTTTATTGTTTTTGATTTTGATGCAATTAATTTACACAGTACTGTATATATACATCATACTACATCTAAATGGACACGTCTGCTAATATATATATATATATATATATATATATTATATATATATATATATATATATATATATATATATATATACACATACATATATATATATATATATATATATATACATATATACTTATATATATATATATATATATATATATATATATATATATATATATATATATATTATATATATATATATATATATATATATGTATATATATATATGTATATATATATATATTATATATATATACATATATATACATATATATACATATATATATATATATATATATATATATATATGTGTATATATATATATATATATATATACATATATATATATATATATACATATATATATATATATATATATATATATATATATATATATATATATATATATATATATATATATATATATATATATATATGTATATATATATATATATATATACATATATATATATATATATATATATATATATATATATATATATATATACATATATATACATATATATACATATATATACATATATATATATATATATATATATATATATATAATATATATATATATATATATATATATATATATATATAGCCACTTATTTTTTTTTGTTTATTTTCCATGTCTATCATTTTTCTATTTTTTAATGGAATTAAGAAAAGGAGGCTTTAAGTAATAAACCAGTGATTTTTTATTATTTAAAAACGAACTTTTGTTCTTAATGAAAGATGGGTTTTTTCTTTTGAAAAAAAAATCTCACTTTCTATAATTTCTTAATAGGTCCTATTTATCATAATTGTTTCTAACCCTCTCTGAGCGGAAGATTATAAAATGTTGTTTAGTTATTATTTGGACCTATAAAGTAATAATTTATTAATTAAAATTTACCTAATAATTTGTTTTTATATTAAAATGATAAGAAATTTTGGAGAGGTTTATAAACTGTAGCATTTGAATACAAAAAGTGTTGAATCCAAACTTTTGACATTAAACATCACAATAAAAAGTTCATTACTTTTATGTAATCTATAGCAAAAGGCATGTTTTAGATGTCTAAAAACATTTAAAAACATATTAATATGTACTTTAAGAATCAAAAAAAAAAAGTGTTTATAAAATTGAGTTTAAACTCTACCACTAAATTGCTTTTGAATTATATACTACTCTATAGCTTATTACTTACTGCTACTTGCTTACCACCTAATTTTGGAAGACCTTTATAAACAATACAATCCTTCTGAGATTAATTAGATACCATTTAAGTAAGATGAAATATTAAATTTGCTTTTGTTAATGATACCATAAAGATTTTCAAAAGTCTCTGGAGCCTAATCTTAATCTGAGTGATTTTAAAATGATTTAGTAACCAGTAATCTATTTAGTAATCTATTTTTTATAATTTACTTTCTTTTGAGAAATAGTTTGAAATACTTAAGGCCTAAGAAAAGTTAACATTCTAATATATATAGGAGGCATGTCATCATATGAGAGTCTCTTTGGAGTTTAAGCTTGTGTTTCTAATCAGAAGGTTTTTAAAGATTTTTAAAACAGGAATGTTTACATGTAAAGTTTTTAAGGTATTATAACTTTTGCAGAATGAAAAAGAAACTTAAATATGTTGTGTTGTGGATAGCATTCTAATGATTCTTCTACCTTGTGAAAAAGTATTTTGGCAACCATAGTTCATAAAATTTAATGTAATTTTTTGTATCTAGATGGTATGTTAAAGGAAATATACAATTTTGAGTTGATTTTTTAAAACAACATTCAGTTGGAGTTAAAAACACAAAAATTAATTAATGCAAATTTTATTTTATTGTATATCAGAACTAAACTTAAAAAAATTATAAACGTAAAAATTAAATGTGAAAAAAAAATATGCGTATTTAAAAAATTTGGTTAAAAAAACAAAAACAAATTAGCTTTAAAATTTTACTTTTGAAAAAAATTATATTAAGACATTTTTCTAAAATGGGACAGGAAACAGGAGAGTTAAAGTGTATAAAAAGATAACAAAACTTAAAATGTTAAGGAATAAAGTTAGCTCATAAATGTGAATACTTCCATTGTGATATTGTATCAAAGTCCTCTTCAATTGTGATATTCTGTTGAAGCCCTTTGAATTTCTATAAATAAACATAGGAGTAGACTTTTTTTCTTAAGTCAAGTGTGACTTAAGGATGGTTGATTAGTGAAATTACTGAAATTTATGCATAAAAAATAGCCCTTTCTCTGAAAGAAACCAATACTGCATACATCAATTGATATTTTTTATAATAAGGAATATTTACTGTATCCAGCATATCTGGCTGGATATAATCATTTGTATCCAGCATATATGGCTGGATATAATCATTTATATCCAGTATATCTGGCTGGATCATTTGTATCCAGTATATATGGCTGGAAATCATTTGTATCTGCCATATCATATCTTTGATAAGTGGATATTAAAAAGCTATACAGTTTATATATAAATTTTGGTCATTTGTTGCAAAAATTAAAATTTTTTCTTTTTTTGTATAGATTGTCGAACTGGTGAAGCAAAAATGTCAAAAGGTTATGGACTTCCCTCTAGGTTTGTTTTTTACCATATGTTTTAAATATATCAATTTGATAAATTGTAAATATAATTAAGAATAAACTCGTGTAGATTAATGCAGTTTGTGTATTATTTTTTATGTAAAAATAATAATATGAATAAAAATATATTATTATAGATTAATAAGAATAGTTACTGTAAAACTGCCTAAGTTCGGTCACCATGTAACTTTGGTTATTTAAGAAAAAATATTAAAAAAACCATGCAAAACTCAAATTTTACAAAATTTTTATACTCAAATAATATTTGTAATTAGTTCGTAAACATGAATCTATAAAAAAATTAATAATATTTATATGCAACCTGCTGAAATAATTCTTTAGCAAAACAACAATTTGAAAAATGCACACTAAAATAAGCATACTATTAAAATAAATGATCATATATAATCTTAGCATTATTAAGAATCACCAAATTAATTATATTTACAAAAAAAAATTAATAATTTTTAAAAATTAACTACTATTTTTAATAAAATTAGTGTAATTTTTAAATACTCTAACTTTGGTCATTCACGGATAAACACAAAGGAGACAACTAGCGGTAATATTGTGAAATATTGATAAGTGTGCGAATTTAAAGTTTACCGGTAACTTTACCTGTAAATTTACCAGTAAATTTTGACATTTTTATAATCGATACACACCATGGTATTTATTTGAATAAAAAATTTGTTCATAATTTCGACGGTTCTTTGAGTTCTAAAAAATATCAAGCTTGTGACATTTTTTTTGGAGATAAAATTAATGCTGAACGACAATTATGGATGCTATGTAAACCCTGTGACGATTTGTTGTGTGGATCTTGCTGTTCTACTATGGTCAACGACAAGTGCAAGAATTACCAGTAAATATATAAAGCAAAGTGTTTTTTGTTAATTGAAAAAAATCTTTTTAAATTAACTGAAAAATTTATTTTTAATTGTATTAACGGGTGGCGTAGCGAATGTGATTATGTCCAAAGTAATAAAATAGTTGACTAATTACAATAAAAATTTAAAATACTACTACTTATATTTAATAAAGGCCTTTTTTTATGTGCTCCTTCTTGTTTTATTTGGTGCCCCAAAAGACTTTTTTTTTTTGAGCCTAGGCCGACGCCCTCCTTAGTTACTGGTATTACCTGAATTTATATCATAATTTTACAATAAAAAAACATTTAAAAAATAGTTTTCACGACATTAAGTTTGTGATACGATATTAGTATTTATATAGTAGCTGAACTTATGAGATGGTATTGAAAGTTCGGTCAAAGTTTTTATTTTAAATTAAATCTTGAGTACTAGTTTTATTTTTCATACAATATCAGTTATCAATAAAATTTTACAATATCAGTTATCAATAAAATTTTACAATATCAGTTATCAATAAAGTTTTACAATATCAGTTATCAATAAAATTTTCTGTATGTCTCAGGATAAAGAATTAAAAAATTTTAATATATATGCGTGATAAATAAATTTTCAAAGCTTAAGTGACCAAACTTCGGCAATTTTACGTTATATAAATAGTAAAATGGTACATATCTGTATTGAGAATAAAATAAGTTTTTTTTTTTTTACGTAACGCAAAATATATTTTAAAAACAGAAGTAGGAGATATTAAGCTCTTTATGTGGCAGTTTTCATTAAACTTAATGAACAATTTTTTGTTTTTTATTTACATTAAGACTGTAAGGGAAAACTTTAGGTCTTTTTAGTTTAGTTTATTGTTAAAGTTTGCGTTACATAATTTATGGACAATCCATAATATTTTATCAAAATCCTTGAGTTTTTGCTTTTTGAATTTTTGAAGTAAATTGAATGCAAATGCTATTAAAAATGAAGAAATCAACTCAAACATTTCCTTTGTGATTTGTAATTTATATTCTTAGTATTAAATTATTACTCTTAGTAACTACTTAGTAATTTATATCCGTAGTATTAATGTTTTGATAAGTATAAAAATATTTTTGTATTTACATTAAACTAATTTTCCTGCTAATTACTCAATGATTTATATTCTTAATTAACTAGCTGGTAGTTCTAATGATATTGCTATATTTGCATTATGTTTAACTATTAATTACTTAAAAAGTGTGTGTTTTTAAAGTAATTTTTGTTTGTTTTAGATATGTTGTACATACAGTTGGACCTCGATATAATACAAAATATAAAACAGCAGCTGAAAGTGCTTTATACATGTGTTATAGAAATGTTCTTCAATTAGCTTAGTGAGTTTATAAAATTATTTTGCAATAAAGGCATATGATTGCTAGAAGTTGCATTTTTCTTTTAAATATAATACCAATTTTTTCAAAAATGTTAAGTGAAAACAATCTTCATTCAATTGGGCTTACTGTAATAAATTCAACACGTAGAGGTTATCCTCCGGAAGAAGGAGCTCATATTGCATTACGTAAGTTTACTACATCTTTGTTGGGCACCTTAGGTATTTTTTTTTGTGCCTATAATTTAAAAAAAATGTAATTTTAAAAATGAATTAAATATATAGCAAATAATAATGAAATAGCTTTTATCTTGTAACAGGTACTGTCCGAAGATATCTTGAACATAATATTGATGCCTTTGGAGTTATAGTTTTTGTTGTGGAGCCTATAGATGAGGTAAAGAGTTTTAAAGTTAAAATAAACTGTAAAGACCAATGTCAGTGTAGTTAGTGTTAAGACAAAACTGCAATTTCTATGTTGATGTAAAGCAGTTTGAAATCTTAAATTGTACAAATGAGTCAACAAAATGGTCAAAATATAAACTGAAAAGCACATAAACTTATCAAAAGAAGTTGAAAATAAATTTTTTTTAATGTTTATTTTTTATTAAAAAAAAGTTAAATGGGCATACACACTCCCACACTCACTTGCATTACTTTTAAAGGTGATAAAGTTTAAATACGCGTACACACTCACACACACATTACTTTTAAAGGCGATATCAAAGTTTAAATACGCGTAAACACTCACACACACATTACTTTTAAGGTAATACTAAAGTTTAAATATGCATGCACACTCACACACATTACTTTTAAAGGCGATATTAAAGTTTGGCAATATTATAATAGCAATATTAAAATACCAGCAATATTTTTTTGCTTGCAGAGCACATACAAAAGACTAATGCCAATGTATTTTCCACGTGATAAAAAAGAAGAACAATTTGCTATTGGTTTTTTGCCTTCAGATATAGGTATAATATGTTTTTATAATATTTTTATGGTAAAAAATATAAAAATTAAAAGTATAGTGATATTAATTGAAAAAATATAAGCTTAATGGTTACATAAAGCTTATACTTTTTAATTAATATATTACTATACTTTTAATTTCTGATTAGAAATCTACTACTTTGATATTTTCTTTATAACTATCTTTTGTTGATATTTTCATTTCAACTATATTTTGTTGAAATTTTTTTATAACAACTTGATATTTGATAAAATAAGTTTAAAAAAAATTGATAAGTTGATATTTGATATTTGTTGATATTTGATAAATTAAGTTTAAAAAAATAAACATTAATTTTAAAATAAGTTTAAAAATATTAAATTTTTGAAATAATATAATTAAAATATTTTTGAAATAATTTTTTGAACATAAAATTTGGTTAAATCCAACCAGTTGTGCACTGTAAGATAAGTTGGTCTCAAAACTTAAATAATGGATATTTTAAATTTACTTAGTAATAATTGGTAATAATTTATGTTTCAAGTATAAAAGAAGAAAAATTCTCTTGCAATGTGTTGCTATTTCAGTTATTTTGAAGATTATTTTGATATTTGGAGTTATTTCAACTTGTAATTGTTTTATCTTGTAGTTGTTTTAACTTAGCTTGTTAGTATATAATATAAATAAAATAAATAATATAATAAAATTGCTTGTTAATATATAAGAAAAAAATTACAAATTGTTGCTATAAAATATAAAAAAAAAATGTTTCATCAAAATAATAAAAACTACTCATACTTTATCCTTTCAATATAAAAGCAGAACTCATCAGTGAAGAAGCAGAACTCACCAGTGAAGAAGCAGAACTCATCAGCGAAGAAGCAGAACTCACCAGTGAAGAAGCAGAACTCATCAGCGAAGAAGCAGAAATTGTCAGTGAAGAAGTAGAACTCATCAGTGCAGCTAAAGAAATGCTTAATCAAAATGCATTATACTGAAATAAAAAACAACATACAAAAAAATACAATAATAAAATCAAATCATGTTGTAACCATTGCATTGTGACCATGACAGTGCAGGCGGTGAGATCTGTTGCAAGGACACGCCCCTGACAAGTGGCGTTAGTGCAGGTCTCTGGCTCTCCGAAATGTCATTGGTGATTGCAGTGCATTCCTGAGGAGGGGGATCACCATTCATCCACTACTTAATTCTAATTGGTTATTGTGGCACCAACATTTTTTTACCTCTTACACCCATGAATTTTTGCGCTTTGTGAGCTTTTTATTATAAATTTGTTACATTTACGACATTTTTATATTTTTATGTTACACAGGTGGTTATCAGTTCTCAATTTATTATCTAGAATTTAGACCATATATAGTACCACATTTATTAGACTTTTTTTATATTACTCCAACTATCATTTGTTATCATTTTACTTACTATTTTGTTATCTACTTATTTTATTGTTTATGAATGGTGCAATTATTTTAGTAATGGATACCATTAGTTAACCAGTGGATTTATATTGACTTGTTTACTCATAGATCATTGTTTTATCATTTGCTAAAGATGACTAGAATGTGAGTTATGGTTCCACTCTTCCCAAGTGGCTAACTTTTACTCCTCCTACTAACTAGTCTTTACATTATGTTTTTTTACCTAAATGACATCATCTACAATCTATTTTTATTTTCACATCTCCCAGGTATACGTAACTGGATGGCTCTGTTGGTCACTTTTTGCGATCTTTGTGTCGCATAAACAAAAAATTTTATTCTTTGTGGCTGGTGAGCCCCGACTTTTTCCAATGTACACCACAACAACAAAACGGACATTAGGCTATCCCGCTGGATGTGGTTACAGCGATCAATAACTTAATGACTACGCTGACACTCACGCACACGTTATGTGTGCCTCACAATGCACGTTGGATCAGTGCTCGCTGACTATGTGCTTGGATCTGAAATCTCACTTCATAGCACATCATTCCACACTAGCACAGGACAGTAGCTCTTTTGGCTAAGAGTGATGGCTTGTGGCCTACGATGACTAATGTGTGCATTCAATCAATTGAAATCCATTATGTAGGTCTTACGTCTGGCTCTGATGTGCTAGCCCATAAGCGCAAGAAGTGAGTGTGTTTAGCTTTCTATTCACCCGATTTAAAAGTGAAGAAAACATAACGAGACCATACTAGACGACAAAACGGTACGTACTAATGCACTACACCATCACACCTGCAGACATCAACAGCCTCTAAAAACAACATATCAAATATTTGTTCTTTGTTACATATGATCTACACACAGAGTGACTAGAGTGTTAGTTGTTTCTCCCCCTGCACCCCAGAGCATTTTACTTTGTTCTTCACCTTCACAAAAGTCTTATCACTCATTTTATATTTTCTTATGATTTTTATTTTTTATTCAATGACACCATCTTCTAACTGTTTTTATTATCACATCTCTCAGGTCTACGAAACTAGGCGGCTCCGTTGGTCACTTTTTGCGATCATTGTGTCGCATAAACAAAACAAAACAAAACAAAAACTACTAAAAATTAGAAGAAACAGAAATCATCAGTTAAGAAGCAGAACTCGTCAATGAAGGAGCAGAACTCATCAGTGAAGAAGCAGAACTCATCAGTGAAGAAGCAGAACTCATCAGTGAAGAAGCAGAACTCACCAGTGAAGAAGCAGAACTCATCAGTGAAGAAGCAGAACTCATCAGTGAAGAAGCAGAACTCATCAGTGAAGAAGCAGAACTCATCAGTGAAGAAGCAGAAATCATCAGTGAAGAAACAGAACTCATCAGTGAAGAAGCAGAACTCATCAGTGAAGAAGCAGAACTCATCAGTTAAGAAGCAGAACTCATCAGTGAAGAAGCAAAACTCATCAGTGAAGAAGCAGAACTCATCAGTGAAGAAGCAGAAATCATCAGTGAAGAAGCAGAAATCATCAGTGAAGAAGCAGAACTCATCAGTGAAGAAGCAGAAATCATCAGTGAAGAAGCAGAAATTATCAGTGAAGAAGCATGACTTAATTGGCCACTTTTTGTACAATCAGAATTAGTATTGGCATCAGTCTTTTTTTTTATTAATTTACCGTTTTTAGAACTGATGGCATTTTAACATTTTTACCCTGCATTATGATAATAATTAAAAAATAAATAAACAAAATTTTATGCATTACTTAGAGTTTTTTTGAAATTGTTTATTTCGATTTTGTTTACAGGCATATTTGTTTATTCTTAAGATGATGTTTATAAGCTTTAATTTAACACCTAAATATACTTTTACTTTTATTACCATAATTTTGTTTTCAGAATAGTTTTAATTTGTGTTGTTCTATTGTTATACTTAAAAGTAACCTATTTAAGCATTGTTATTTGTTTGTTTAAGTATAGCCTTCTTTATTTCTATAAAATTGTTGTTTAGATATTTAAATTACTAAAGAATAAAGTAAACTACTTATCTTAGTACCATTTCCTTTTTAAAATTGAAATAAAAAGCCTTCTTCCAAAATTGTATTTTTTAAAATTGTAATTTTTTGAAATTTTACTTTTCATAGTAAAAAAAAAATTTAATTTTTATATATGTTTTTCTTTTAAAGCAATGGTTTGGATTTAGGTACAAGTATTTGTTTGTATTTTGTACCAGTATTCCATTGAAAATGATTCTATGAAAAAATTTACACAATTTGAAGTTCTATGGTTTTATATCTTCAAAATTTTAATAATTAGGTAATTCATTGGTATTGACATCGGTATCGGCCTTTTCCCATCTATCGGTATCTGCATCGGCCACAAATGTGCTATCGGTACATCATTAATATATAATGCTATACAAATATCAGATTAATAAGAAGATGACATAATTTTAGTAATCAGTAATTATCAAGAGGGCATATCTAAAATCAAAGTTTAAAGTTTTTCACTCCGATGAGACAACATGTCTCTTATTTTTTCAATCTTGTCAGTTTTTTTAAATTCAATAACATAAATACAAAAATTCAAAACAAAACAGTAAGTAAAAATGAATTGTAGTTATTAGAAAAGTTTTCTTATATTACACACGATCCTATAAAATATTATATAAGTAGATTTTTACATTTGCATTTAACACATCTGTTTATTGTTATATTATGTTATATTAGATGCTATGCAATAAAAATGCGCTTGTTTAAAGAAGCAGCCTAAAAGTGTTGATTAATTGCAAATTAATTGCAATATAAGAGTTAGGGTGGTCCATTTTAACATGTAATTTTTTTTTGTTTAAATTAATGAGGCATGTTGACTTATTACTTCCTTTTGGTCTAAATATCAACTGTGCAAAGTTTCAGGTTGAAAAAAATATATTTAGGGGTTGCTCAAGCATATCAAAGTCTAGAATATTTTATGGTTTTGCCAAAAATGTTTTCAAAACTAGAGTTTTTTTTTCATTATCAATGTAAAAATATTGTAGAAATTTCTTATTCAACAGATGTCAGCACTATACTTAGTATACTTCTAGAATAATTATTACATACAATTTTAAACACCCTTATTTGGTAATATTATAATTATTAATTACTGAATTAACTTTTTGAATTAACATTTCTTCATTCATTTTAATAGAATTTGTTTGCATAATTTATTGCAGGTCAAATAATTTAAAATAAAAAATGGCTACAGCTGCAATAAATATACCAAAACGAAAACCAACAGAAATGTATTTGATTGGGCAACCATTAGAGAATTTTGGTGAGCGATTCCTTCCAATAGAAAAAGTTGTTCTAAAATGTATCTTCTTCTTTGGAACCAACAGTCAAGAGAATCGCAAGAAAGTCGTCGACAAAGTGCTGTTCTTGTGGACAAAGGCACGTATTCCAGTTATGGAGACCCGTGCAATCATTGCCAAACTTGTTACAATTCTTGATAAGTATAAAAAACTTTAAAAAAATCGAGGTAAAAAAACTGACCAGTAGAAAACCAGTGAGACAATATTGAAAGGCAAGCTTTCACAACTCTTTGATGTATCTCACAATAATGCAATGTCCCTCATCACAATCAATGAAGACAAGGACTTCCTTATTGACCAGAGGATAGTCAGAAAGATGGCAATAACAGGAGAAGATAAGAAGCAAAAAAAGAAGAAAAGATGCAAGCACGATAAAATTTGACGAAAGAGCGAATAGAGAGAGAGAAGAAAAAAATGTAAGCTCAAAGTTTAAAGGTGCAACTTGTTGACTCGTTACCATCTTCTTCAGACTCTGAGTCATCTGAACATGGCTTTCCTCAAATTCATAATCGGAAATCAAAGAGATCAACTCCTTCCAAGAAATTGAAAATGAAAAACTCCAGAGTTGGTTTGTGCATTGGACCGTAGCAACATTAGCACGACCGGCATGCTGTTCACATTTTGAATGTCTCAGCAGCAACACCTCTTAGCAACAGATCAATCTCCAGAAGCTCAGTTCAACGTGCTAGGATACATAGCAGGGCCATCACAGCAGCCACTGTTAGGGATTCCTTCATCAATGAAGTTCAACAGAAGGATACCTTTTTAGTATTACACTGGGATGGCAAGTTGCTCCCAGACTGTACAGTAAGTGGAGATGGCTTAAAGGTGGATTGTTTGCCAATTCTTGTTTCAAGCCCAGATATTGATTTCGAGAAACTGCTGGCAATACCAAAGTTATCATCGAGTACCGGAGCTGCCATGGCTAATGCAACTGTCAGGATTGTTTGAGAGTGGAAACTCGAAAAAGAATCAAAGCTCTTTCCTTTGACACAACATCATCCAACACTGAGATCCATCCTGGTTGTTGCCAATTAATAGAGGTACAATTGGGTCGACCTCTGATGCATCTTGCATGCAGACATCAAATTATGAAGCTGATTTTGGTTACAGCCTTCAAATCAGTTATGGCTGCATCATCTGGACCAGATATTCAGCTATTCAAATGTTTTCGAGAACAATGGTCCTTCATCTCAAAAGATGAAATAAGTACTTTTAAGGATCCGAGAGTAGATGAGCATAAAGATTGAAAAGATGCTACCATAACCACCATGCAGTCTAGCTTGGCTCGAAAGAGTATACGTAATGATTATGCCGAACTGTGCCAACTGTCATTGTATTTTCTGACAGGAGAATTATGTGCTCCAATCAGGAAGCCTGGTGCATACCATCACGCCAGGTGGACGGCCAAGGCTATCTATGTGATGAAAATCTTGTTGTTCCGGAAGCAAATAAAACTGACAAAAAGTGAGGAGACTGGTCTACATGAAGTGTCTCTCTTCATTATCTTGATTTACTCCAGAGTCTGGATAGAGGCTCTGCGCTCTTGTGAGCCGGCCGTCAATGATAAGGCTCTTCTAAGTGATTTGGTCAGCTACAACAAGTTGAACGAATAACAACTTTCCTACGCCATCTATGGTATTTAGATGGTGACCTTGTTGCCTTTTCACTTTTTTCCAACAAGTTGTCTACTGATGAAAAAGAGGATATTGTTAGAGAAAAAAAGAAGGAGAAGGATATGGATTGAATTAAGTTGGTTTCAAAAAAAGGAGAAGAAACAACGATGAACCTTAGCAATCTTGCTTCTTCCGCATCCTTGCAATTTTTAAAATCTTTTAGAATCAATGAAACCTTCTTGGAGTTACCTCCTGACCAATGGGATGATGATGAAAGTTTTCAGGAAGGGCGCAGAAAGCTTGAGAAACTGAATATTGTAAATGGTGGGACAGAGAGGGGAGTTACAATGATTTCCACTTTCAATAATTCTTTGACAAGGGACGAAGAAACAAGCACTACTACAACTTGTAGAGCACCATCGTCGTCTCCACCCCCTCAAATGACTTTTCTGATATTAATGAACTATGTGAATGATTGTGTTCTAGTTTCGTCACGTTTTTTGCATGTTTTGATGTTCAATAACTTTTCAGTGATTTTTAAATTTAAATTTGTCTTAAATTCATTTATTTGTTCCTGTAATTTGCATTTTTTTGATAATATAATTCATTTGATGTATAGCTTGAAACTTTGATAGCATTAAGCAACCTCTAGATACAGTCCAAACTATGTAATATTTTGCACAGTGGCTTTTTTGAACAAAATGAACATAACAAACAACATCCTCTGAAATATATTAAACTCAACTTTTTTGGGCCATCCTAATAAGAGTTTATAAAATGTATTGTTTTTCAATTACATGCATAAATTTGATAGATCAGTGATCTAATGTGCTATCTTTAGTGTCGTTTTGCAAAGCTTCGAATTTACACAAAACATTTTTATTTTTTTCAATCTGGTTGTATATATTTATAGCAAAAAAATAAATATAGCTAAAAAGACTTTTAATTGTTAGAATAAAATTTTTAAGTTTTTTCTAGCTATAAACTTTTTTTTTCTGCCTCTACAGCAGCACCTTCTGAAGTAGCAGGTTTTATCAAGTTCTTTGTTAAGTTGCAGACTATTATTATATTTGTTTATTATATTATTATTATTATATTTATTATTATATTTGCAGACTATTATTGCAGACCATTCTATTATTAGGACTATTAGGACTAATTACCTGATTATTTTAATATTAATAGCACATTAATATCTCTATCATGACATAAATGCAACAAATTTCTCCCTAAAACTATTAAATTCGGCAATAATATATAGAGATGGAATGTTTTAATTAAGAATGAAATGTTTTAATTAAGAAAATAATCTAATTTTATGAGAAATATTTTTTAGCTTCTTAATAAATTTTACTGAAGCCTGGAGCCTAGAGAGGCCTGGAGTTGCTGTGTTGACTATAACTTGTTCAGCATTAGTGTCAAAAAATTTGGCTAGCTATATTTAAATATTATTATAAATTTTTTATTACTATCTAACTTATTTGTGGCTGGATAGCTCAGTTGGTTAGAGCGTCGAACAAAAAGTTTAAACCCAGACAGTTGTAAGATACAAGTTCAAATCCTGCCACTGCCAACTCAGCACTTGAGTAGTACTTCGGTACGCAAAAATGTTGGTCAATAACGGATGCTACTTTGGATTTGTCTTAATGACTATTTGTGACTGTTCCTTTGTGCTATATTTTTCTATACATTGTATAGAAAAATATAGCATGAAAATTCAAATCAAAAATAAAAAAATTAAAGATTTCAACACTTTAAATTAAAAAAATTTTTTATATATACTTGTTAGAAAAAATCTCATAATAAACTGAAAACGTCACAAGTTTTAATTTTTTTTGGAATAGTATATAAAAATATATAATGATTAAACAGCAATAAAGTTATTTAACTTAACAATTTTTTACTAATTGTCTTCTTAGATGTACTTTTACAAATTATACATTTAATGTTTATGTGAAAAATCAGATTTAGTCTAAAAAAGATAATTTAATTGTTGCACCAGCCTTAGTTATTGATTAAATAAAGGTTAATTTTTAAATATCTTTAAAGTTTAAAGATAGTTTGTGTCAAATTTATTAGTTTTATTTTTATATATTTTAAGGTAATGAAGATGGTGAGCCTTTTTTACCAGAGAGACAGATTCGAATTATGGATAAACCATTAAAAGGTAAGTTTCATAGATCATGTAATATCTAGTTGTATTCAAATAATATTGTCATAATCATTGTCATAAAAACAGTTTTTTTAATTCATTTTATCTCCTTTATTCTTTACCATCATCTGAAAAGATGCAGTTGTTCAGAAAAAAATTCTAGTTAAATCTTAGATATAAATCAGCTTTTATATCAGCTTTATATTTTAACTCAATTTTCTTAGATGTAGGTTTAATTATTTTAAATTTAATTTTCTTAGATGTAGGTTAATTATTTTAAGTTTAATTTCCTAGATGTAGGTTTGTATTATTTTAAATCTGATTTTCCTAGATTTAGGTTTGTATTATTTAAATTTAATTTTCCTAGATGTAGGTTATTTTAAATTTAATTGTTTAGTATTTTTAAAATAAATTAGCTTTGTCACAAGACAACAAATAAACAAAGTTATTTATTATATCATTTACAAAAGATTTACTGTATAAAAGTTCTGTTTACATATTTAATACAATATTTACAGTAAATGTAAACGTTCTCAATTATTAAAATTATTAAAATCTTTATAAAATAAACAATATAAAAAACTTTATTTCAACTTTATTTGAATGCAAATGTTTTTACAAATTTTATTTTTTAATTTTGTTTAATACTCTATTTAAGGCAAGCTAGACACATCCATATCACCATAAGTTAGACAATTCTATATTATTTAAGCTA